TTCTGTGTTCTTATCCTCAGTGCATGCAGTTGTGAACACACAAGACAGAGAGTTTGCTGAGGACAGAAATTTGGCAAAGAATTTGGTTGCGGCCAAACAACTTTAAGTCAAATGAGCCGTTTCGTTTCAAAATACACTGCGAAAATACAGAAGACGTGAACGTTGAAAATGTTAAATGGTGACGTTGGCCAGTCTTCTTGCTGGTTGCTGTTTAAGATCAAACCTGACGAAATCTGAATCGCATGTCGCACTTTATGTCTCACACTACCCCCGGCGTGATAGTTTTCTTACTAAGAGTAGCGACTGCTAATTAGGCTTTGAACGGTTTAACCTACAGCCGAGTGGAGGCTAAGCATGCGAAATATTGCAAACAGCACATATCTTTATATTTAGAGTGAACCGTGAGACGCCGCTGAGTAAATTATCAGTCATCGGTTTTATTGACGCTTTTGGAAAAACGCCTTCTGACATAGGTAACACAGTGAACAGGTTCATGCAGATAGTATACATTCACAAGGTTTCCCCGAGTGAAAGAACGTGGAAAGATATGCAGACTTGCTGGCAAATTAGGCTTTGCTTCCCTTATCTCTTATAGGAGAGAGGGAGAATACTTTATTTTAAAGGTAATATCTAAACTTCTAAAGAATAAGTGGCTCCATCCACGGAGAGCAAAGGATAAATTAAAGTAAGCGGTTATGGTAGAATGTTTACGCGATAGCCATATCTGTTATGGAAAGATATGGCTTTCAACTTCTCAAGTTCCGTTCGTTCACACGTGAGCTAGCGTACTAGTATTGGGAGTACAAATTGCTGATATACCGTTGTTCGGCAACACTCATGACGGAAGCGTCGACGAAAAGTATGGGAAGATTTCGTAGCCGTGAGTTCAGAGAGGCAAGGGTGAGTGACCTCACCTACGATGCGACCAGCAAATTGCTTGGGCGTTTTAAAATTATCGCTATAGATAAATATCAGCTAAAAAACGTAGCTGAATAGATTATTCAGAGAATACGCTTAAATATGACCGGGTCTTTTTAAGTAAAGATGGAAAAATAACTGATGAACAGTAAAAAAATGAGGGGGAGAATACAAGCATTTATAAATCACCAGATTAGAGTTTGCAGTATACGTTATGAACGTAAACGGTAGATATAATATAAAAATTTACGAAATTTAATACAAATGCCCCTATATGGAGAGTAAGCAAGATGTTATATGCCATAATACCCCAAGGCCTCTGAAAGAGGATACCTCGTTTGACAGAATTTCAATAGTTCCAGGACTGGGAGACGGCGGCAGTCGAAAGACACCATTCTGAGACGTGATTAAGGCCATCCTTCAGTACTTGGAGATGTATCTGAGTTTTCAGAGGATGGCCAACAACCATAGCATCAGTATATTAAACAAGAAACCATTCGTTTGGTGAAAGTAGGTCGTCGGTGTGGAGGTAGAACGGGTGAAGAGATAATACAGACCTTTGGGACAAAGACGCTTTGTAATGAAGAAATAACGTTTGTCGGGAGATAGTGGTCGGCGGGAGTGTGGATGAAGTTTGCATATAAATGGCCCATGTCTTAGTCAGCATTGAAATGTGCTAGTGTATTGCGTTGGCCAGTGAGACGCTTCCAAATTTCATCCGAGGAGAAAAGACACGAAGATGCGGAAGAAGTAAAAAGCTGACTTACAAAAAGGTCTTTCAGTCTGGAAATGTCACGTTTTATTAGGAATTTTACATGCTTTAGTCTTTCACGTAAACCTAGTTTGTAGAACATTTCCTTGTGGCATCTTAAAGTTTTTGGATGGAAAGAAGAAATTCTGTCATAGTTAACCATAACAGTGTCAAGAGGACAGCAGATATTAAATACTTCGTTGAAACAATCGGTTAGTTAACTGAAGCCTGAATTGACGTTAGAGTGTTTAAGAAGGGTAGGAAGATTTTCACATTTGTCTGTCCGAAGCAAGAAAATACTAAATGAGGACGAGTTGCTAAACTTACGTTTCCTCTCGAGTCTGGCTAACATTCCTTTCTTAAAACTCAAATAGACGTTTAGCATGCCCAATAACAGAGTATGGTGTGAGCCTGAGCATGGAGCTCTATTTTCGACGGCAAAACACGTGGGATAGTTGGTCAATATGTGATCAAGAGTGGCGCCAGCACGAGTGTTGAAGGAAACTCAGTCGCCAAAACCTAACAATATAATAGGACGTAGGTTCACGCATTTGAAGTCACCACATAAAACAGTAACATGCTCGCAAGATAATATGGCAATTTTATGGGAAAGAAAATAAATAAAACGGATTAAAGCACCTTGACATGCAGAGGGGAGTATATAAATACCGACATAAATAATGCCTGTATAATTATTTAAAAGCTAGATCAAGAAACTACAGAAATGGCACCCCCAAATAGAAATGTTCTTGTACCAAAGGATAGAATGGCCCCAGTCGGACCAAAGGATAGAGGCGAATAGGACCCTACAGCCTTTGGTACTAATGCGCCGTGATTGTGTATATGGGCGATATTTCATGTGTTGTCTGGGGGAGTTTACAAGCCGTCGTCGAAATCGATGG